GTGTGCTGAAGATTTGTCAGCAAGTCATTAACCCAATGACAGATAGACTGAGATATTTCTAGTTGTGTGAGCTTTATTGACCAGCCTGCTGGTTTCATTTGCTTTGCTTTATGGCATATCAACCACAATGGGTTATTTAATGCCAATAATTTTTATTGCTGGTAATATTTTTCTTCAAAAATGTATTGCTGGTAATATTTTTTCAAAAAATGTATAGCTGGTAATTTTTTTTTTTTCAGAAATGTATAACTGATAATATTTTTTTTTTTTCAAAAAATGTATAGCTGGTAACTTTTTTTTTTTTTTACAAAAATGTATAGTTTCATATCATTTGTTTTACGGCATATCAAACTCAATGGGTTATTTAATGCCAACAAGATTTTTATTGCTGGTAATATCTTTTTTATTTTATTTTCAAAGATGTATAGCTAGTAATTTCTTTTTTTTCAAAAATGTATTGCTGGTAATAGTTTTTTTCTTCAAAACTTTATTGCTGGTAATGACTTTTTTAAAAAGTAATTCTTGTATTAAAACCTATTTTTACACTTTCATAGTTTTTACCCCAGTTTCGGGGTTAACTATTTGCCCATAGCTGGGACCCTAACAGGTGCTACCACCCTGGATCAGGGTGGAACTTGGAACACCAGCAACTCAGAGGTGGTTCCACACTCCTCAAAACCTCCTGATCGAAGGCTTTGTTGTTGGACATTGTTTATTGTCTTACCCAGGACACAGATGTAGTTTATCGTTATACTGAGGATGGTGACCAGCCTGCTTGGGATGATCATGTTAAAGGCATAGCTAAATGTCAAGAAAAAGCATTCTCATATAACCTCCCCCTTTTCTATAGAAGGGTCCAAGCAGTATGGAGAGCAGTGACAGTGGCATCTTCTTTCAATTTATTTATTCTGTATGCAAACTGGTATTGATTAAAAGTAGACAGAACACTTGCCTTAATATGACATTGGATCATCTTTTAAAATTGACAATTGGTGTAAGTGCAATTGTCAATAATTGCTGGTGCCACTAATAACTGTTTTTTTTTTTTTGTGGGGGGTAAGGGAATGATGGTGGCTGACATCAGGCAGGATGGTATCACAGATTTTGACAATGTCAGCTTAAATATTTTTATAAAGATCCCAGGAAGTTGGCATATTGTTTCAGGATCCTTCCTGTCACTTTGTCAGGCCCAGCAGCTTTCTTCAGATTCACCCCCTCTGAACACATGCCTCACTAGGGAAGGCTGATTTTACAACCACAGTATTGCACTCAATTTGAAAGTTTGCATTTAATATGAGAAATAATGACACAAAATATTTTTTTCTAAATCATTACTGTTTTTTGAGGAAACAATTTTAAAGATTGTTTAGGTTCAAAACTGGAGTGTTGGAATTTCATTCCAGTGATCAGTGAAAATTTTATAAACCAGCTTTATAAAATTTATAATTGAAATAAATTCAGTTCATTGGTTTGAAATTACAAAGGATAATACATTCCATAATAAACAATTTTATATTTTCAACATACTCAAGAGAATAAAACAGTAGTCGACTGAAATACAGAATGTTGTATTAAAAATTTACAACAAAATGCTTTCACCATATCAGATGAATTGGAGGTTAAGAAAGAGGTTATAAAAATTTGTTGATTATTTGTACTTAATTAGTCATGTCAATTTACAAGACTAACTTCATTAATTAGTCTTTCTTGTAATCTTTTACAATTTTTACTTATCGAATAAAGTAAAAAATTACATATTTTGCTTGTAATGATTCACAATTAGAATTCTAGATTGAATATATTTTCCATTCAATGTATCTAATGCATGAAATATCAACTTTAATTGGATTTATTCTTGAAATAGTAAAATTCTGAAGTCAGTTTGTAAGCAAAAAACCTGCAGAAATGAGCTGTCTGTACATTTTTTTTTCAGGTGATCTTTGAAAATAAATGCTCAAAAATTGGTAAAAGCTATCAATCAAATTTCTGGTGTCAATACTTACCACATCAAATTCCAGCTTTTACACTGAGTACAATGTTGATTTTTTGAAAAAAGTGAAAAATCAACCTACCCTAATGCCTCCCATTATGCACATGAACAGTGAAGCTCACATTTATTTTTTTTTTTAAATCTTTTCACCTCAAGCAAGGCGGGAGAGTGCCACTAGCATGTAAGGAGTTACAGAAAGTGGGAGCAAGAGTAAAGAGGTGTGAAAGAGAAAAGGATGAAGAGAAGGACAGGGAATAGATCAAGGCATCTGGAGATTTCAACTGATGTTGCATTTGAATGGTTGAAGGTTATAGCTATCAGGGAAGCAAGTTAGAGGAAAAGAGTTCCACAGACGGAAAGTGTGAGACTTGAAGCTATTGGAGGAGAAGAGATGGCTATATTTAACTGTTTTGACAGTGAAAGGGTGGAACTGAGATGCTGACTTAGTGACACGTTTAAATTTATGCAGTTTGGGAACTAGCAAAAGTAGCTTGTTGGAGCAGTTACTATGAATATATTTGTACAAAAGATAGAGGGAAGTGATGGCATGTCTGTGAGAGAGTGGCTGTAAATGAGATGCCACACAAGGGCCAACCACATTGCCTATCTGTCTCTGGATTTTGTTGAGGACCTTAAGACGAACAGTGGGGGATCCAGACCATATATGTCAGCAGTATTCTATGCAAGGGTGAATGGTTGATTTATAGATTTAAAGGATGGACTTGGGTGAGAAAAACTTTCTGGCACAACAGAGAGAACCAACTTTTCTTGTGGTAGATGAAGCTATTGATTCAATGCAATTGTTCCATTTCAGGTCAGCAGACATTGTGAGACCAAGCAGTCGCAAAGAGGTGCTCTCATGGAGTTGAGCATCAGACATTCTATTGGGAGGCAGGGAAGTTTCTCTCTGGTGAGTAATAGAGAGCAGTTTTTTTTTTTGAGGCATTAAAGTTAACCAGCCATTTCCTGCCCCAATCAACAACCGATTAGAGGTCCTTTCACAAGACGAACTGCGAACAATTCTGATCTGAGAGCCATGGTCACCTGCCCACCTTCCTCCACTCAAACTACCCTTTTCTATTAAGTCTGGCAGGTTCAGGGATTGAGTCTTTTTTTTAAAAAACCTTGCACATAAAAAAAAGGGAGATTTTTAGCCATATTTTTGCTTCTATAGAGAAGCAGAAGAAATATACCCTGAGATATAAAGAAATGGGTTAGAAGGTAGAAAAAAAACACAAACAAAATTAGGCTTTTTTTGGTTTTTTAAGTACTACCCAAAAGTCGGGGAATAATCATATACAGAAATTACTTTTTCAGTAGCTTTTCTTAGACTGGTTGTAGATATACAACTTATTTCCCTACCTTTCTAGTAATTGTTTTTTTCATGGTCAAATTTCCTGTTTGTTAGAGTTGCACATTGGGAAAGACACACATTATATTTTTTTTATTTGAATATTTATATTCAAATCATGCATCTTATACAAAATAAGAGAAAAAAAATGCAAGCTTATGACCACATCACATTGAAACACGGGTTCCTGCATGATCACCAAAGTTAAGCAATGTGAAACATGATCAGTACCTAGATGAGTGACCACCTATGAATACCAAATGCTGTAATATTGGATGTGTAGGTGGTGTAATTGGAATTGTTAATTGAAGAACCAAGTTGGGTTCATTATATTCACTCACAAATAGCCTTAGGAATGGTATGAATTCACCTCTTCTTCTCCCAGCTATGGGTTAATTAGTAAGTCTTGTATCATTAAATCATTATTATCTCAAAATAAATATTTTTATAACCTAAAAATATTTCCTGGCTTTAAATAACCTGCAAGAGATCGAGAAATTGTAGAAAACAAATCAATCAATCAAATACTGATTAGCTACATAGGTATGTCTTTTAGATTTATTTACATTCTCTGGAATATAAATGTATAGAAATGTGAGGGATCGGTTTATATATTGATTGTACTATAGAACTGATCTCCCACTTTATATCCATATTATAATTTTTGTTTATTAAATTATGATTAGATATGAATCCAACTTTCCCACCAGCTATGGGTTAATTAGTAAGACTTGTATCACTAAATGACAATCTTAAAATATTTTCTGGCTTTAAATAGCCTGCAAAAGGTTGATAAGCCATAAAAAAGGAATCAATAAAAGAAAATACAAATTGATGCTTCAAAAATACAACAATAAAAAATGAAAAAAATATGCCATACTAAGTTTAAAGATTAAGTTCATTAAACAGCCAAGTAAAATTTTAACAAGAAAAACAAAAAGAAAGCAGCAATTTCTTAAAAACAGAATGTCTGTAAGAAATCCTCTGTGTAGTTCATTATTAACGATAGCAGATATCACTGAAACAGATTTTATACAAAATCTTAATACACTTTGGTTTGTGGGAAATATGATTTTTAAGTGTTTCAGTAAGGGTATTTTTTAATATGAAGTAAATTTATTCATATTTTTTCTAATCATTTCTAATTTTTACTAATTATATATATATATATATATATATATATATATATATATATATATATATATATAAATTTACATTGAGCACTATTTTGTAAAATTAAAAATATCTATAAGAACACCGGATGATATATCTTACTGTTCTTTCTTTTTTTTATATATATATATATATATATATATATATATATATATATATATATATTAAAAACACTTTCCAGCACCCACCTTAAACTTACCTTTTGGAAATCATATTTTCCACAAACCAGCCTTTCTATGAAATAGCTTTATCTTCTGCTTATTGTTAGAAAATTTAACTTTTCAGAAAATAATTCTTGATACACAAATAAGTTCAATTATATATTTTTAGGTCACAATATTTTTGAAGAATCTTTTTGTACAGTTTTAGCAGAAATTTAATTAAAGTCCAATAAAAGGGTCTCTCGGACCATAAAAAGCACATGCATGCACACACAATAAAGTCCAACAGCACAGATGCCAATATTTTGAAGACAATCTCATTTTGTCAGGGTCTTTGCCGCTCAAAACAAAGTTGTGAAAAATAAAAAAAACAAGGAGTTCTGGGGGAAAAAGAGAATGAAAGAAAAGAAGGAGGAGAAAAAGAAAATGAGAGAAAAGAAAGAGAGGAAGAGAAGAAAATGAAAGAAGAGGAAGAGAGGAAGTGAAGAAAGGAGAATGAGAGAAAAGAAAGGAGAAGAAAAAAAATGAGAGAAAAGAAAGAGAAAGAAAAGAATATGACAGGAGAGGAAGAGAGAAAAAGAAAATGAAATGAGAGGAAGGGAATGAAAGAAAAGAAAGAGAGGAAGAAAAGAAAATGAGAGAAAATAAAAAGTGGAAGAAAAGAAAAAAGATTACAGGAGAGGAAGAGAGAAAAAGAGAATGAAAGAAGAGGAAGAAAAGAAGAAAGAAAAGAAAGAGTGGAAGAAAAGAAAAGAGGATGATAGGAAAGGAAGAAAGGAAAAGAGAAGGAAAGAAGAGGAAGAAAAGAAGAAAGAAAAGAAAGAGTGGAAGAAAAGAAAAGAGGATGATAGGAAAGGAAGAAAGGAAAAGAGAATGAAAGAGAGGTAAAAAAAAGAAAAGAGAATGAACATCTTGAAATAAGATTTGCATTTTTTTCCATCAGCCTTTTCTTCTCTTCTGCTGCCCCAATTGTTTTCCTCCCACAATATTCTCACTCCTCTATTCTCCTCATCCTTTCTCCTTCTCACCATATTCCATTACTTGTCACTCAAACCCTCCCTGTGGAGCCATCATTTAATCACTGTTACTCTCAAACATTCAAACACAAATTGCTTGATTATACATGATGAACAAAAGAAAAAGTAGGGGGTCTTAAATAGGACTTTCTTCACTGCATACCTGAAGGAAACTCAACACAAGACAGATGTATTGACTGATTTGTAAAGAAAAAAATTGCTATATATATATATATATATATATATATATATGTGTGTGTGTGTGTGTGTGCATATATGATTGAATCAAAGACAAAAAGCATTCATAGCTGGAGTTTCAATAGAATTAAGCACAAAGAAAAAAATGCACTATTCACAAAATCAAAAGTTTAAATTTCACATTTCATTGCCAATCTGACATTCCCACTGGTAACTTTTTAAAAAGGCATGTGTCAAATAATCCCTGTTTCCTGTGTTGACATATACTGACTATGCTTATATCACTGACCATTTAATGTTTCATACAGATCACAAACATGAACAATCTTCAAGTAATGAACATCAAATCGGATCCTAACTCTTGCGAACTTAAGCCCACTTACTTTATGAAGGAGAGTAGGTCATTAGCAGTCATTTACAAATAGATCCTTAATACTGCTTCCACTATAAAATAGATGTCTAGTAAGAACAATTTTGCCACATTTCATCGGAAAGTGCTTCACTACATACAGGGGGGGTTGCAAAAGTTGGTATACAGTAAGTATTACAAGCATTATAATAGTGATTCTAAAATTCATTTAATTCATTAAAATCATTTTTAATATTTTTATTTTCAAAATTTCATTGTGGGACAGTGTCTTTAATATGACACTGAGCAAAGCATATAAAAATTGGGACATCTTTACATTATAAAAATTCATAGAAAATGTATTGACCTAATTTTTTAAAAATTAATTTCAAATAAAGTGATTGAGATTGTTTAATTTTGATTACAATAACCATTTGATAAAATTATCCATGATTATAATGAAAATTTCCCTGTGTAGATAATAAAACCACATCTATGGATATTTAATAATTGTTTTGCAAAAGCACATGTCTTTAGTGTTTGTCCACTGTGACTTAAACTATGCAACTCGAGAAATAGGACAAGTAATCAGTCTTCTTCCTATAATACCAGTATAATATTTTGGTGAATGTTATCAACCAAAAATTACACTACTAGTCATACAATGTCAAGCAAAGTTTATAGGAATTTGGAGTCTTTAATCTTGGCTTTTACAAATAGCCATGTTTGCATAATCTATCAAAGTCTATTTACTATTTCTCTGTTCAATCTGGCATCAGAACCGTGATGCTACAAAGATAGGTGGTTTCCTGGACATCTTACACATGTAGCGGCAGGTGATACTATTTATTTGGTGTAGAGTGATGGAACATAACTAGCTTTTTAAGACTAAATTACATGCCAAAGAGTTTTCTGTCTTTGCAAAGAAGAATGTCATGATATATAATGTTTTAGTGTTTCTTACATTGCTTTTTATGTCAACTTCAAGTTTGCTCCCTTCCAGCAGCACTGGCAGTATTACATTAACATAACAAGGGAATATTATCATTTTCTATTGTTAGAGGCAGTTAAGATTTTGGGACACATAATGATAAAAGAAGGCTTGGAGAATCTAACACTAACAGGGTATATTGAAGGCAAAAGAGAGAGAGAGAGAAACAGTGAGTAATTAACCTAAAAAAATTTGTCTAATTGGATGGCAGAACAGGGACTGGGAGGGATTGTAAAATGATGAACATTTCTAAAAACTACAGAGTATAGGAAGTAGTGGAGAGCCATGTTTGCTCATGGCTTGAAGGGACAAGACATATAAAAGAAGGAGGACCCTGCAAGATCATTGATAATTGATTATAAAAATTGTTCAGTGGTTATCAGATAACATGTGCATGAAAAACTAGAATGAATACTTTTCTTAGAAAATACTTCAAGTGAACAGATGTTAACAAGGCTCTGTATTGAGGATTTAACATCAGTACTGCACACCCACAGAATGCATGGTCATCAGTAAAAGGATGAGCCTGAAATGTGATTTGCAGTTCAAGAAGAGTAGAATCAAGCAGACATGGAAATTTAAATATCTGGGAAGTGTTTTGACAGAGGACGGTAAGTGCAACACTGAGATCCGTAGAGGCATTGGGATGGCCAAGGATGCATTCCAAAAGCTGGGTAGAGTACTACAAGACAGGAGGATTTCTTCAAAGAGGAAGAAGAGACTCGAGGTGACAGAGATGTGATTCTACAGAAGGATGATAAGGATATCATGGACCGAGTGTGTGAGCAACGATGAGGTCTTAGAGAGGATGCAAACAAGGAGGAGGTTTATACTTAACATCAGGAAGAAGCAGCTGAAGTTTCTGGGGCATGTAATGAGAAAAAAG